TTCGCGGTACGATGAATTTTTAAGTTTCATTTGAAAGAGCTTCGGCTCCAAAGGGTTAATTAGCGTTTTAGTCGTATTATTTCCTTAAACAAGGTTAACCAGTTGATCTTTGTAATGGTGAGGTGTAGTGTTTTCTTCGCGGTACGGACTGAATTCTTAAATATTTACACGAACTTCGGCTTCAAAAGGGTTAATTAGCGTTTTAGTCGTATTATTTCCTTAAACAAGGTTAACCAGTTGATCTTTGCAATGGTGAAGTGTAGTGTTTTCTTCGCGGTACGGACTGGGTTCTTAAATATTTTTAGACGCGATCAGTTGATCTTTGTAATGGTGAAGTGCTGTGTTTTCTCCGCGGTACGGACAGGGTTCTTAAATGTTACTGAGAGGAGCTCCGATGTAATTTTCTGTTTTCTACTACACTTTTGCTAGCCTTCTAAACTATCTCGAAATTTCTGTGCTACAAAAGGTTATTTTAAAATCCGCGTTTGTTTTTTGTACATCGACTGCCGAATATTAGTCCCTTTGTGACGGACTGTAATACTTCGCTAGCCATTTTTTTCGCCTTCAATTGTTTTATCTGAAATATTCAGATTTGAAGCTTGGTAGTTATAAAAGACCTGTTCTCACCTTTTATGAGTACCACAAACATTTGGGCCTTTAAGTTGATTCACAGCGACACCTCCCCTAACCATCTACACAAACACACGATCTAAATTGGACTTTTTAATGTTCAAAATGCAAACATTTATGTAAACGTGGAGTGGGCTGTGGACGATACAGGGCGCAGGCGCGTGGAGCACCTTTATGTGGCGATTTGAATCACCGGAATAAACATTCAAATAGGCTTCTTCTAGTCCAGAGCCAAGTGTAATTATATTCAGGTATATTTAACTAACAGGAACATTTTAGTGTGCCAAATTTAATCGCAATCCGTTCAGCTATTTAGCAAAAATAAAAAATCCACTAAAGTTCGTAAGCAGTATAGTTGCATGATTCATCGGCATATCCGCAGGTTTATGGCATTGTTGCCAAATCTTGTGCAGTGCGCAGATTGGAAAGTTGTATTTGTCACGGCCCATTAGATATCGTGGGTGTGGGATACACGTAACCAAGACAACGGTGAGGCAACTCGCGCGTCCGGAGAATCCTCGTGAATCTTCCATGACCAAGTGACGTCATTTTCATCGTGGCAAAACTTTTTGTTTCAGAAGCTCATAATCTCTCAGGGAGTCAGTAATTTCTCTGTTTTTAGGAATTCGAAGGTCCATTGCCATGTTCGCGGAGGTCAGCCATTTAACCTGTCCAGAACCACAAGAAACCAATTCACACGCCATGCCCTATTTATCGAAGAACCATGTTTATATTTAGTCTGGAGAGTTATCAGGGTACATTGTTACCGTAGTTTGGTTAAGCGGGAAAATCCCCTCCAGCAGCAGAAGTCTCGTGGGGGAATCCTCCGGGATCACCCACCCGGAAAAGCGCCCCCACATGCCCGTCAAAGAACAGATCAGTGATCCCAAAACCTGTGACGTAACTGGCGACATTTGCAAAGGTCAGAGGTTACGTTTTTGGCCACCGAATTGTTACTCCACGCGTACGTGTCCTAACTTGTTACTTTATAGGCACGAAACTTGGTGTCTTGTCGTAATAGAGGAAACTTTAATCTGATTTTATGCTAAGAGAAGGCTCCACTCCAACTGGTTCTCAGAAATATCTTTGTACCCGTGGTGGTCTGTTGGGTTGTGACGCCCGACGTTTCGGAGGAACATAATGTCTCAATCATCGGGGTTTTTTCACCCTGCAGCTGTTTGCAATGGCATTTGGCAGCACGTATAAGAAAGTGGACACGTGTTACGTTCTCTCGCACGTGGTCTACGTCAGTGCTTTTCAAGGTGCGCGAAGTCTGCCCAATCTGATGAGGTTTTCCCCACTTACACCTAGACGTATGTAAGATCGGTAAAAAAACTGTATAAGAAGTGCCTTTTGAAGACACGTCTGGCTCTTATGACCGAGTAACACAAGGTCACATTCTGCACTTCGATTTCCTTGCAAGGACACGCCACTTTGGTTTATGCTATTCGGACGACGTCTCACGTCATCTGCAGTGAGATTTCATTTCCGGTACGAAGTCATTATTAAAGTTCAGATATAACGCACTGCATCCCCCATGGCCCGGGGTGGAGTGAAGCTGGTCACTCATCAACGTTTAATTCCGAGGTTAAGAATGTGTGGAGGCAAACCTCCACTTCCCGTAAATCTTCACGTCGTGTCTTAAGTTTCAGTTAAGTGCAGAGATAACTTAAGGACAACTTTTTTTTCGTTGAGGTATATTTGAATAAAAAAGTTGACAGTGCAACCACGGTTCTGGAGAATTTGACGTAAATACGTCTATACGGAAAGGAAGTTTATATATTGGTTTTATTCTAAATATGGCGCACAATATTAATATTAATTTTAAATTTTAACATCAACAATTTAAAAGTTTGTGTATAGACTTGAATAATAAATATATATTTGAATTTTAAACACAAACATGACGCATCTAAACTATAAATCTAAATATTTCCTTTATACATGCTTTACAATTGAGTAAAGTTTGATTAAGACATTGCTTATTTAACTTAAATTAGTTACGCTTAAGATGGGTCTGTGGTAGATGAATGTAACGTAAAGTAATGTAATGAAATGTAATGTAACGTTCCCTAGGTACACTTGTTACACTTTTTCGCCGAATGACCCTTCCTTATAGACGTATTTACGTCAAAAAATTGACTGCGTATTTAAATTTTTCGCGTGTTAATTTCGCTTATTTTATTGTAGAACGTTCAACCGAGAATATGCGTGAATAACCTATGATGTACAGTCAATAATTTAGGTTGATAAACTTCGTGTTATGCTAGTGTTTCGCGTGTGAGGCGTAATTTATGCCTGCAGGTAGTTAGTTACCTGTCACCGGATCGGAAATGGGGGTCTTCAGCTCCGGTAAGACCCTCAGCGAAAGTGAAAAAAAGCTGACCTTCCGACCCAGGAAAAATAAAGATTCACTTTCACTCTCTTCCTCAGTTGTGCGTGTCATGACCTCTGCGGAGAAAGGGACCAACCTGTTCATTCACCTGTCTAATCTGTCTCTAGATTAAATTCCTCAATGTTTGCCTTTTACGCTGAGTCAGGTGTTTTATTTATCTCTTCAGATAATAAGTTGCTATGCAACCATCTTTTTCCCTCTTCCATATTATTTGTACGAGCCGGTTAGCTCAGCCAGTACACTGATTTACTACTGGCTTGACGATCGGGGTTCGATCCCCATCAAGGGCAAAAATTTTCCTCTAGCCTGATAGCCTCTGGGGCCCCACACAGCCTCCTGTCTAATGGGTACCAGGGTCATTTCCCCGGGGGTAAAGTTCGACCAGGGTGTGACGCTGATCACTCAACCTCATCTAGTGCCGAGATTAATGAGGAGCTATACTCAGACTTCTGATTCTGATTCATAAGTACCTTCTCGTCTCTTGTCTGTAATCTGCTTAACGTCTTTTGTTTAATTCGTTTCCTAGACAACGCCACGCCTTTGTGAAAATTTCTTTGTTTCGTGATGTGTCAATATTTCTCCTTACGATTCAGGAGGACAGTCTTGAAGCCTTTTTTGTGACTCAAATTGAAAATGAGTTTATGCAATACGAAAGCGTTTCGGTCAAATGTCTGTCGTCCAATCAGACAGAAGAAAATGTATGTCACAGCGCTTTCTCTGGAAAGTTAACAAATTATGCATACAGCTCATGGTTCCAACGGACAGACATACGATTATTGGGTCACATATTAAATTAATTGTAATTTGGCATTATTCTGGTATGTTCCGAAGTAGGTACAGTCAAACCTATCTAAAGTGGAACCTAACTTAAATGGAAACATCTGTTTGGATTAATCTGGCTCAGGATGGAGACAGTGTCGGGATCTTGTGAACACGGCAATGCCATAAAACAATACTATTCAACCTGGGGTACGCGAAGACATCTTAGGGGGTACGTGAAATTTAAAAAAAAAATATTATTTTATGATAAACACTGAATAATCAGTAATGTAATTTATTTAATTTATTTTAGATGTAGATTATATACTATGTATAACTTGAATTATACACCAACAACTTTGGGGGTACAAAGTTGAAGAGAGATTATATCTGGGGGTACGCGAACAAAAAAGGTTGAATACCACTGGTATAAAGGACGGGGCATTTCTGGACCAACTGGTCAGCATTTCTCTAGTCTTCAAATACGTTTTGTACAGTGAAAACGTCGATTTTTTTTGGTGAAATAACGCCTTTACAAAAAAAGTATTTATTTAAAAATTTAGTCAGTAGTTTAGGACGTGACACATGCGGATGGACATAATATCTCTTACGAGCTTTTGATTCACGCACTGTATGCGAAGTACGCATTTGCTGACGTTAGAGAACACCTTCTGATTGGCGGCAGACCGTCTGTGTGGATGGATGCGTCGGTGGGGGACAGCGTGCCCCCCTGTGATAATCGATCCACTTCTCCCGTCACGTGGAATTCCTCTAAAACCATTTGTTTCCTGCTCTAGTTGCTTAGTAACTGCTGGTTTATCTTTATGTTCAGAACACGTAATCGATGTTTAGCCTCGTCGCCATACTTGTATTTTTTTTTCAGTTTTAAATAAATATAACAAAATTATTGAGTGTGTCACGAGATAAATTAATACGCGATACCGATATTCTGTTGTTTTTAAGCTCATCCAATGGAAAAGGAGATTATCGTACTGGAACTTTTTTTTAAAAGAAAAGAATTAGTAAATATTGTTAACACGTTGTTGCTTAAGGTTTTAAATACGAAGGTCGTAAAAAAAATAATAATTAAGATTTCAGTCCGTACCGCGAAGAAAACACTACACTTCACCATTACAAAGATCAACTGGTTAACCTTGTTTAAGGAAATAATACGACTAAAACGCTAATTAACCTTTGGAGCCGAAGCTCTTTCAAATGAAACTTAAGAATTCAGTCCGTACCGCGAAGAAAACACTACACTTCACCATTACAAAGATCAACTGGTTAACCTTGTTTAAAGAAATAATACGACTAAAACGCTAATTAACCTTTGGAGTCGAAGCTCTTTCAAATGAAACTTAAGAATTCAGTCCGTACCGCGAAGAAAACACAAGACCTCACCGTTACAGCGATTAACTATTTAACGCTGTTTAAGTAAATGATCTCTGTGTTCATTGTGAATCACACGAAAAGTAAATATGAACAAAGTATTAATGGTTTAATATTAAAGGAGGTGGTACTTATAGTAACCACCGTGCTTTGAAAGGTTAACAAGATGCATTGCAGTTTTTTTTTTGAATATGAATTAATCGAACGTGTACAGACTTCCTTTAAATGATTCATACTAGGAATTCAGTAGCTTAGTGGCTGTTATTCGTGTTTTGTGTCTTTGGGAACTTCAGGGTTCGAACTCGTCCCATAAGCGTGTTATTCTGATAAACGTGTTTTGGTGTTTTTCGTAACACTTCCAAAATAAATGCCTGGGTACTCATCTAATCCACCGATCGATTAACTGTTTGCTAAGGTTGAAAAAATCATCGAATAAATAATCATTGAAGCTCAGTGGTGAGTCATTGTTCTGTCACTTTAATTGTCAAGTAATAATTATCTTTTTTTATGAAAAATCGTGACTGTCAATTATAATATTTATCGCACAATGGAATTTCGTGTCTGTCCGCCGAACAACAATGCGAGATATGACGACGAGGACGCGTGGTGATAGTTGCGAAGCCCGATTCACACTGACCCCGACTTTCGCGTTTCTAATGCCGTAATCTCTCCCTCCCTCCCCTAAAGGCTAAGAATATTGTTGAAATTGAAACCATGCGCAGTTTTTCGTAATTTGAACTGACAAAAGTCCAACTCTCACGGACTGCGTCGTGGATGAGTGAACAGTCTTTTGTTTCGTACGGAAAACAGTGTGTGTGAAATTTTTGAAAAAAAAAAAAGTAATGCTGTCTAGCGAACGACTGGGGTTCGATCCCCGACGGGGGCAGAGGATACTGACGATGGTGTAATATTATTTGGATTCTTGGGTTTTTTGGACCATATTCATGACGTCAGACTATGGACAAGGTCCAGAATCCCATGAAACCAATTAATACGCTTTATGGGGAAACACGGAATTGTCCATTGTTAATGAAGGTGGTTTTTAAAGATGCCACTAAGCTTTTAAGTGGTTAATTGTTTTTTCATTTTCCTTTTTCAGGCTCGATAGGGAGAAATTTGAGCTGATAAATGTAAGTATAAAATTGCCTTAGTAAGGGCATCTCTATTAAAATACCATGCATCAACTTTGCTCACCATCAGTCTATGTTAGCCTGCATGATGCATTTGACAGATGTTTCAGAGGTGCTTACTGCTTCCATCTTCAGGGACTTTATGATGGATGGTAGCTGAGTACTTAACTGTTTTGCTTTCTTTTTTCAGAATACGATATTGCCAGAGGCGGTCCACTTTTGGGAAATGGCTCTCATGGTCAGAAAGACTAACAGCGTAATACGGCTGAACAGGTAGGAACAGAATTTGGATTTTGGGAATGTTGCGGTTGATATCAGAATTTTATGGGGTTGTTGAGTTTTGTGCTGACAGTGTTTATGGCGCCACTTTGGCTGGGTGACGACAGTCTTTAAGGATTCCCCCACGTGGTTGTCTTGCTTGGGATTCCCACGCAGAATCCCCAGGGTCATTAAATTTGATGGTGATTCCCTACCCATTCGCTTAACCAAATATGAAATTTTTCTGCTCAGTTCTCAGTTTGTTATGTTTTGTTGGATGGACAGAAAAGGTTCAATTTTTTTTTAAAAAAATATTTTATGTATTTCTCCCCACACCCTATAAGAAAGTGGATTTTGTTTATGTGTGTGTGGGGGGGGGGTGTTGATGCACTGGGTAATATCACAGCTCATGTTATACTTAGTTGTACCTGTCTTTTGTACTCTGTTCACATTAAAAAAAACATTCCGTTGTTCTCAGAAAATGCGAGAACAACCAGGTGTTCTACAGGAAAGGTGAACCTTATCCATACTGCAAAAATGCCTGTGAAGAGAGGACGATGTGTGGCGAAGTTCAAGTACCAGAACACCATCTAGAAGTACGTTCCACGATTTAAAATTATTGACGTACCTGCGTCAGGTCCATTTATTTTAATCTGTGACTACTAGGATACTCTGTGTTGGACCACACTATGCAGCACGTTACCACATCGCTGTTACAGGTGTGTAGGACGTGCAATGCGACGGGCCAGGACTGCGGCACGTTGAATTCCGACAGAGGTCCCGGGATTGACGGAGCTGATTTCGTGTTTTATGTATCGGCGATGGAGACAGAAAGGTGCCACAAAGGAATGACTGTGGCGTACGCAGCACACTGCCAACAGGAAGCAGCACTAGATAGGTAAGAATTGCTACAGAGTTTACATAAAGTGATCCTTAAGAATTTATATTTTTCCTCAGTGGATTGTCTTCTGGCGAAACATTTTCCATTCTTTTCTGTCTTGATTTATTATATCTGTTTCAACTTTCTTGTTACTTTTTTCCTCCTTTCCCACTTGCTCTCACTTTGTCATCCAAATTATAATCTATTCGACGTTTTCATTTTGTACGTACAGGATTTCCTCCCGCCAAAGTAAGAAACACGAAACACACTTCTATAATGTAACCTTTCAATGCTGTTTGTCTGCGTCTTTTGATATATGGACCGCAGGCCGATTCATGTCTCTGCTAAGCGCGTAACATTTTGGGGGGGGTGCATTTCTATTTTGGCAGGCCGATAGCGGGACACGCTAACCTGTGCCCCCAGAGCATAAGTACAAAGCCGCAAGAACTTGAGATATTGCTTTCAACGGTGAAACATGAAATCCTTCATGCCTTGGGCTTCTCAGTCAGTCTGTATGCGTTCTACCGTGATGAGGAAGGAAATCCGCTAACTCCACGAGGGGACTCTGGCAAGCCACATCTCAACGAGAGGCAAGTTGTGAAACAAGCATAAAAACTGTGTGCTCACTAGCTACAAATCCCTCCTAGTGCTTTGTGTTCTGATTAAAATTTTACATGATTTTACTCAGGCTTCTGACTCGACAGTGGAGTGATCGTGTGATTAAATCAGTAGTGCGCAGAAACTGGCTCGTTCATGGTGGTCGAATGGATCGAGAGGTGCAGGTGATGGTCACCCCTCGAGTGGTGGAGGAAGTGCGCAACCACTTTGGTTGCTGGGAACTGGAGGGAGCCGAGTTGGAGGACCAGGGGGAAGAGGGAACTGCTCTCACACACTGGGAGAAAAGGGTGTTCGAGGCAAGTAGCGACTGATCTTCTTTAGCATGTCTTGAAATGGTTGCTGTCCTTGTAGGACAGGGTTGTGTTCCTGTAAATCGCTGTATGTATTGGAAGTGCATGAAATGAGAAGCGTATAACAACAGTAATTTTAAACTGACACTAGAATTCTGTGATGCTAAGTATATCGTCCTTGTGACGTTCCCTGATAAGCATGGAGAAGGTTTAACACATAGCAGGTTTTAAAATTTGTTCATGACACTAAAATAAAACTGTTATTGATATTATTTTGTGTTATTATTATCCTGATTTTGACTGCCAGAGCCATCTAGCAGCTAATCAGGAGACTTGGGTGAGAAACCGCCGCTGAATTTTGCTTACAAAACATTTTGTATCATGTAAGATTTGTGGTTTTCACAGCGGTGAGAATGAAGATTTCTGTCTTCTGGGTTGTTGCGCTGTGTAGTCTTCTTCTTGTAGCGTTATAACCCTTTGTGGGTCTTAGCTTGTACGACGAGTTTTTTCCATTCTGTCCTATCATTCTTCTCCATCCCCTTACTCCCATCGTCCTCACATCCTCCTCCACGTCGTCTATCCATCGTTTCCGTGGTCTCCCTCTCATCCTTCTTCCCATCGGTCTCCATTCCATCACTCTTCTAGTTACCCTGTTTCCTTCCATTCTTGCAATGAATTCATCGCGCTGATGACAGAGGCAGTATGACCTCTGAAACGTTGGTTAACATCGACCAGACTACACAGCGCAACAACCCAGAAGACAGAAAAATCCATTTTGCATCATGCTTGCAATGTTCTTTTACGTGCCGTAAATCTACGACATGGGACCGCCGGCTTTACTTCCCCTCCGAAAGAAGTCGTGCTACGGATTTTTATCACCCTTAAAAATCCACCGACCTCGGCCGGGATCGAGCCCGCAAACCCTGGGTCCAGTGGCGAGCACGCTAACCACTAGTCCACAGAGGGCAACGAAATAAGACCGCCAACTCTATTGAATTGATTAATGTTAGAGAAAATTTGTAGCCAGTAAACAGTAAGATTGCCTTTGAAATCCTGAAAATGTATGGTAAAGAGGGCCATTCTGTACTGCGTGTTTCTCGTTCAGAATGAAGCCATGACAGGAACGCACACGCAGAACCCTGTTTACTCACGCATCACTCTGGCACTGATGGAGGACACGGGTTGGTACCGTGCCAATTACAGCATGGCACAGCCCCTCAGCTGGGGCAAGGACTTCGGCTGTGACTTTGCAATGAAGAGCTGTAAGGAGTGGATGGACAATAAGACCATGAGGTGAGTTGTTTATTTATTACATCAACTGAAGTAGTATCAAATGAGGTAATGTACGATGGTTATAAACAATAAATCAAGAAGTGTGTATTATTATTGTTGTGATTTCACAGGATAACCAAAGAAGTTGGGGGAAAAATCTATCCCACTGCCACTTTGTCAAAGTACAAATTTCACATGGTCATGAACCCAGACATTTGCCGTGAGAAGCTGGCGGCTAACCGCCTCCGCTATGGCATGACCAAGGAAGGGCGTGAAGAAGGAGACTGTCCTGTTATTTGTTAGAGGGACTGAGGAGAACTATTGACCCTCGAGATGTAGGCATTACATTCGTCTGAAATGTTGCTATTGTGGGTTGTGACACCGTGAATTTGCATTAGTTACTAGCATTCTGAAGGAACGACGTATGTACACCATGTAGGATTTGATGTCTTCACATTGGCGAGTCTGAAGATCACTGTCTTATGGGTTGGTCCGTCACGTAGTCTGGTAGAAGTTTACCAGCGTTTCAGAGGTCCTTGCTGCCTCCATGAGCGCCTTGATGATGGAGGTAGCAAGGACGTCTGTAAACTTATACCAGACTACATGGCAGAACAACCAAGATGACAGCCATCTTCTATGTCTGCCATCTTCTGCAAGTTCATGTACTGTTACAACCTAGAAGACCAAAGCTGACATCTTCACCGCTATGATAACCAGACTCTCATAAATCCAGTTTTATGTTACAGTGGTAAATCAATACACCCGTTCTGCAACAAGGTGAAACGCGATCCCTTGGAGACGGAGTGTACCGAAGACCGCAGCTCCGTGGCTCTCTGCAATCTGGTGGAGCACCAAGATAAACTTCCAGTAATGTACCAGGTCAGAGAATCAGGATAAACGTGAACTGTATCTTTCTCAGAGTATGACTTAGGTTACATGTTAATTTTTTTTAATGGGTATTTTTTTTAGCATCTTTGTCGTATGGATTGGCGTCAGACGCACTTAAGACTGATGTCTCATCAGTGAATCTTATTCAGTTCACTGCTGTGCAGCGCTGTCTCTTGATATGAGTGACGTTTCTACAGCTTACTTTTAGAAACAAAGTCAGTCTTATGAATGACCATACTGGTCATACGTAGGTGCTAGTTCTTGTCATTAAACCTCCAGGTTTTATTAAAACAAGGAATTTTTTGACGATATTGTTCTCGTGGGTTCTGATGCCGTGTAGAGATACCAACATTTCAGAGTCTGTGTCACTAGAACACAATGAAATCCAGAAGATTATCGTAACATCATCATTATCGTCCTTAACATCGCGAACACCTCAGATGTCACAAGGAATATTTTCGACCAGCTGCGTAACCATCGAGTTTTCAGCAAGGTCCCTGCACCATGGCATTAGTTAATAAGCGAATGTAAAGAATTATGGAGGATGGAAAATTGAGAAGAATGAAAAGTGTTTCACTGTTAGCATGAAACTGCTTGTAATGTTGATTTTTGATTATCTTGCAGAATTTTGACTCGATCCCACATGTGAAACCGGGGCAGGAGAGCTACTTCGGTGGTTCTGTTTCATTGGCCGACTACTGTCCATATATCCAGGAGTTCACGTGGCGTTCCAAGAATGTGATTGTGCGGGGTTCCCACTGCCAGTACAACGAGAATAATCCAAGTACGTAGTAGGGTCATTCGATTAATAAATTGAATGGGTGTAAAAAGTAAGAAATTAATGCTTTTTTATAAGAGCGCTTAAGTTCATTTTTGTGTCGTGAAAAATAGTGGCGAATAATAAAATAATAGAACAAGTGTCTAATTTTAATTATTTAAGCTACCATTACAGAATATCCTCTTGTCAAAATGAAGATATAAATATGAAGGTGCGTAAAGAGGATATGGGGAACAGTAAGAATTTTTGATACAAAAGAACTTCGAAGAACACGCAACTACGATCTAATAAAGTATTGAAATGCAGCCGCGAAATGTGTTGTGATGCCGTGTTATCCTTTAGGTGGCTGCCGACATTTCGTAGGGTTGCTTAGTGTATCGTAACTTGACGTGTGAATAATAAATGCGCTGGATATGTACTTTGTGATATTGATGATCTGTAACTAAGCGAATCTGTTAAACAGGAAGATGTCCTTTGGGACTCAATTGCAAGGGCATCTTAAAATAAGTTAAAAAAAAAGTATGCTGAAGTTAACTGTCGTGTTCGTTGATCAGGTCAAGAAAAGAACTTTGCGCTGGAGCAGTATGGATCAAACTCTCGATGTTTTGACCACACGAATCAAATGTGGGAAGAATGCTCATGTCAACAAGTGCGGCGGTGGCAGCACTGGGGTTCTGGGTGTTACCAGTTCACTTGCCAGGCGGGCCGGTTGCACATTATGGTGAGTGGCAGGTGTGGTCGATACGGTACAGTCTGAATTACTGGCGGCATCACTAAACAGAACGCAAACAAAATAAAACATAATTTAATCTCCTGTGGTTGGTTTGAAAGACTTCAACTTTTTGTATTGAACAGGGTTAACAAATTTTTATTTTTATTTTTATGCAACTTACTATTTCAGAAATGTTTAGTGTCAGTCTGTAATTCTATCATAAAGTGTTTTAAAACGTGTGTGACAGACTTCTGATAATCATTGCATATGGTTTTCACCGAGTTTTATTTCACGCAGTTGGAAGACTTGAGGTGGTGTTATGAAGTCAAGAAAATGTGCTGAAGGGATTAACTTAGAAACAGGGGGAAAATTTTTTAATTATTTTTGTGTCAGTTTCTTCTTGGCACGGCAAAGATTTCTATGCTAAAATCTAACGTGCGTACTTCAGATGTTAACGATCTGTGTTTGAAGCTTCGAAACTTCACTGACCGTGAATCACCGTGTCTGTTGCAGGTGGCAAACTACACATATACATGTTATTTCCCAGGGCAAGAGTTGTCCATTCTCATAATATCAAATGGTTGGCTTCATAGGGGCGCTCTCGTGTGTCCACCCTGCGAGGACCTATGCCAGGTAAAAAAACGGATGAGAGGAAATCGTTGCCTTTACAATCCTTTCAGTGTCAGTAAATGAGACAAATGTCTGTCCTTTGATAGTATTCACCTGTTTGTCTGCCTCAGGGAATTCCAGCAAGTATGAAATATTTCTGCCAACTCCTTGTCTTAAAAAAACTGTTAATTTAATCTTCATTGTAATAAAGTTTTCCTCTGTGTTAACCTCATGTCCTCATTAATCTGTTGCATTGAGTGCTTCATTGTCCTTTGCTCTGCATTGTTATGCTCATTTTTAGTTTTTACCACTTTGCATCGTATATTTATTTTAAATAGTAGTGTTAATTTCAAATTGGCCTGATGGTGGAGGCAGCAAGGACCTCTGAAATGTCTGTAAACTTCCACCAGACTACGTGGCACAACACCGAAGAAGACGGACGTCTCAAATTTATATTTAGTTTACTTTCAAGGAACGTGGGGTTTAGTGAGATGCTTAATTTTTCTCTGCTGGACTCGGATGGGGTTATTGTACAATTAAAAATAATTTCTTGTTTTATTACAGTAAATATTTTGTAACCACAATGGAGCTCTCATGCCACATTTAATAAAATAGCATGTTTTTTTGTCTAATTTAAGGACTTCCTTTATGATTATAAATTTCTTATGAATGTTTAACTTCCATATCCATAAAAAAAAACAGGAATTGTTTATTTATTTTATACTGCAGGTGGAGTTGCTGCAGTTAGGAGATAGATGTAAACCGGCCTCAGTGCTGCCTCCATTGGCCGTGTACCACAAAGATGAACTGACATGCAGCTCCGAGCGCCGCGTCGCCTCCCTTGCTCTGACTGTGATACTAGCACTGGCAGCCGCTGTCATCAGGTGGCCTTGATAACTAGCTGTCGCCTAGCAAACCACATTCCACCCCTTTGTAGGATGTAATACACTTGCCAGCTGTGATACTTGACGTCACATTCCTTCCTGTACAGACGTGTACATAAGACACTAATAATCCAGACCTGTGTTCTGGAACTCAGGTAAATAAGAAATTTTGAGAAAGACTTTTAAAGGAATTGCTTGGCGAAGTGTGCCCCGTTCACTGTACAATGTGGTCTTTAAGAGCTGAACTTTACGTTGATGTAAGCAGTAGTCATCGTTTCTGAAGATGTAAGTGGCGCGACGGAAAGTACGTCGGCTCAAATGCCGTATAGTTACGACTTCATCGAGTTATTGACCTGTGATAAAAATGTGGGATTGAGGCAGACTGTTTGTTCCTGTAAAGACTTTTGGTTGCTCAAAGTTTCTGGTTAAGAAACAGGCAATACAGAACTAGTATTTACACTGCACATTAAAATCTGCCACGTCTCTTGGGCTGTGCTTAAATTTGTGGCATTTTGATTCTGTATATTTATAATTATGATTTGAGATATCTCAATTATGGCAGTTCTTACGGCAGCAAGTTTTAAGGTGACTGACGTCTGGGATCTTGCATCATGTAATCTCTTAAAAAATCACCAATGATATTTCAGAGGTACCGCCTTTGAAACTAAAGTCTGGGTCTTATGAGGCCATATGAAAGAAGGTCTCAAGAGACAGTCACCGGGAGTGGGTCTCCTTCCATTGGAACTTTAAACGCATTTATTGATAGGTCTTTAGCTAATAATTTTGGCCGGCGTGTGTAGTAATGTAATTCTGTGACATGTTCACTGCGCTACTTAAAATGTTCCTCATAACTAGGAGCAAATCAGAATCTGGATGATGATAGATCAATCACACAAACATATCCAATTACAATTTTGTCTGGAAACACGTTGTACGACGTCGCTCGGAAGGTTAATATTAAAATGAATCTTACAGACGTGGGTTATGTGAGGATGCAAAAACCAGATTCTAGTGGCTTAGTGTATGGTTCAAGGTTGATATTTAACAATGATGTACCAACTATAAAGTTGGTGAATGGTGTAGTGATGATTATGTACGGTGAAATGGGAAGGTCTGGATCTTTTTCAAGATAGTATCCGAAAAATTCAGATGGGACTGAGGAAAATTATGTTAGAATTATCTGAATAGGCAGTGCTCCAGCCAGAATTCAAACTTGATATCCATAAATACAGATCGGCCATGTTAAAACTTTAATTAAATTAATTTCTTACAGGAGGTCTTTATGCACAGAATATGGTTCAAAATCATTCAAGTGTGTATTTTGTAGATACAAGGTGATGAGCCTCACCCCCACTACCGTCAGACGCGTACCAACTTCTGACATTCATACAGTGAACATGTAATCTTGTTCTGTTGTTTATGTTGAAGTGATAGAATATTAACTTTCCTCTCTCATTGTAAGACTGAGAGAGCTTCGAAGTGTTAATAAAACCAAAGTGTTTTCGATATTGTGCATAGTTTTTCGTGATGTCCCGTGTATAGCTACAGGGATCTGTTGATGTCGCTTGGTCCATGTCCATGATGCCTGCTTCATTTATACTCTGCAAATTCTGTTTAGCATCCTATACATATATATATTAATAGAGCCAAAATGGGTCTCAACAGGTAAGTCAGTTACGATTTATTTTTGTTATATACTGATAACACGATAGAGCAGATGTCAGACTTCTCCACTGTTACTGTTCCCCACCCCCCACTTTGTAATTCCTGCAAAATCCCTCTACAACTTTGTCGTGTTTGTACTTTTTTCTTCTCACTTCTTTGCTGTCATCACGTCTTGTCATTCATTTTCCTGTTGTATCTTGTTACCATTCACTCAAGCCTGTATTTTCTCTCAGTTGTCCATTTTCTACCACTTTTTCCAAGTATTTATTATTATATTTATTATTTAGTGTTCTGTATGACGACAGGTCCACATGAGCAGGATCCTTCCATCCTTTTCTCGGACTGGGACCTGTTCATATACGTTCTTGGCAGATGATCCAGAAGTGTTTTGCCATTGCCTTCTTCTGTGTGTGGATGGAGTAATTGTTGGGATGCCACGGAGGAAAACTCCGTGTTGCCTAGACCACGGCCTTGCCCAACACAAGTTATAAATTCGGGCACCGCCGGGAATCGAACCCGAGACCCCAGGACATGAACATAACCTCAAAATCCAATTTCTCATTGCTACCTTTGGTCAGCATGTGATAAAATACTCTATTATAAAAACACATTTTAATAATTATGTAAATCCTTAACATTTAATTTTTGGTTTTTGCACAGGCCTTACTTTTTCAACTGTATTAGAATTATTATAGGTTACAGTGGTATGGACATGTAGTTCATGGGGGCAGAAACGAGTCCTGCGGGAGGCCACTTCGAAGACCGAAGCAGCAGCAACTCGTACCGGTACTCCAGTAGAAGCAAGATTAACAGCCCTAAGCTCATGGTAGCAGCTCGTGTGTTAGAAGCAGAAGCATGTCTCATTTGGCCTGCCCAATATTTGCAGAAGACCACACATCTGACGAGCTTCTACTTAAAGTGGCGCCACTTGTACAAAGTTGGAATTTCTGTTTGTTTTCTTGTATGGTTATGCTGTTTTTGCGAAGGTGGTGGTGTAAGCAGTTTGCGAATCTAGGCGAAAGTTTTAAGCGTTCTTTCAATAATAATATTTCCCTTGCTCTTTGGATTATCATTCTTATCACCATCGCTTTTTTTTACATTTTCTTGTCACATTTCAAATAATCAAAAATATTTTTAGCATTTATATTTCACTGCAGTGGTAACAAAATGTGTGTCACTAGGTAACGGTAAGAATCTTAAATAAAATATAAGTTTGGTTGTGATAAAACTTCGAAAGCTACAGGTATTTCAGGAACTGTTTTGTATGGAAGGATGCTGTTAAATCATGGAGGTAAAGTGGTCCATTTATGCCATCTTGGGGTTTATATGATTAGAAATTCCTGTAATTGAATCTGTTTTGATGTGGATTGCATGGATGGTCTGTAATGTTCTATAGTGACCTGCATTAATCTTTTATAAACACTGGATAGGTCACGGTAGCAAGAGTAGTCAGGCGAGGGACACATTTGCCAGCGTAGATCGTATCAGCTGCTACAGACATTATTTTTTACCTGAACATTACCGTTGTGATCAGAATATATCTGAATTGTTTACTCTCTTTTATGTAGTACCGTGGCTGCTCCTGATAGGTCAGCCACGAACACGGGACCTCCTTATTTCCGAGAGGCAAAAATACTGCTACGTCATGGGCTGAGGGCGGCTGGTAATGTGGACCGAAGACTGCCACTTAGTTGCCAGAAGAAATGCTGTACTACTGGAAGGGCCATCATTACTGATGTGGGTTAAGAGCTACCAAATAATTTTAGCTGTTTTAAGAGTGTAAACTGTATTTTATTGCATATTAATTTGAGCACTTTAAATATACAATAAAACTTAATACTGTGATGTTTTTCTTCTTTTAATAGAGTTACAAACTGTGTATCGGAACACAGACGCATGCTTTTTTTTTTATTAAATTCTTGAGAATATTTTAGATCTGAAGTTATCCAAATGTTGGTAACCACCTTTAAGACCACACAGTGTCACAACTCGGAAGACTACGATTAAATGTTCAGGCAGTCGTAAAACGCATATACAAATATTTCCATTTATACTTATTTTAAAATGTTATTTTAGTACAGATATTATGGTAGTTAAATCACAGTTTATCTTCAGTTGAAATCCATGAACTGGAGAGCTCTTCTTCTTCGAAGGAGGATGCCTTGTCCTCCACTTCATTATACTCCACTGTGAAAACTACATCACCGTGGTTCTTCTTAGTTATCAGCGTACTGTCATTTCTTCCAACAGTGGGTTTCAGTAATGATCTGTTGCTATCTCTTCCCATACTTCTTTGTTGCCTTTGTATGAGTCTTTGTATTTCTTTCCTGAAAAATAATGAATGTCTAATTATCAAAAAATGTTGACTGTAATCGCACGATACAATGTATTTTACGTATGTCTGAGCAGTTTGAATGAAGAACACGGCAAGATTGTTACAATATGCAGTAACCACTCTGTAAATTGAAGTATCTACGCTTTTACTTCCTTCATTTTGACTAAATTTTATTACTTAATTTAGCGAAGCTACTTGATCCTTTCATAAACTTAGGTCCTTCATATTCCACTGTCTTATGCGTCACCTGCATATCGTACTAGAAGTTGATACAAAGAAATGTTTAATTTTGCAAAATGCAGAACCTGACATGAGATGTGCTTTAAATTGTACTTCCGTCTTCAACCCCATTACCACTTGTATCAGCAAGTTCATTTTAGACATGGATCAGCATTTTCTTAAAAAGGAGCCCACCAAAACGATAGGCAATCGTATGAATGTGTGTTGCAGTAGAACTATCCCAACAGGAGCAGATTCTCATTTCAAGCTTCAAAGCATCAAATGCGTTAACATTCTTTATCTCACTATATTCAAGTTACAAATTCTACATTAAAACTTCACTACAGATGTTTCTTTCTACCTGAGATCTGGGTTAAGCAGCGGACCTGAACTGTCAGTCCGTAATTGCGTGTCCTCCATATTGATCTCTGTTGGCAGAGCTGTACTTCCACTGGACTGGAGATTGTTAGCTCTGAAGTCTCTGGAATTCATGTTCGTTGACTGCAGATAAACAGACATCTGACTCAGTGATGAGGACAGAGATTTGAGTAGGTGATGTCAATGTGTGGGAGGTTCAGTGAAGTAGGTTTCAGGCTTACGTCTGCAGGAGGTACTGTTTTGTCACACTACTCCCTGTGGTCTATTTACACGGGTTGACCTATTTTTGGAATATAGGACAATGGATGAAGTACAAAAACACAAAAATACCATTTTTTGATAACCTCCAAGATCATTCTTTTTATGTGATCTACTAACATAATTTGCAACTAACTACATGGCTTACCGAGCCCGAAAGTTCATCACCGAATTAACCAAAGCCCTCCACCGGACCCTGTCCTGGGCCAACAAAATCCAGTCTCCTTCAACTCCTATCTCCCATAGATCCCACTTGAGATTATCCTCCCATCTACGTCTAGGTCTCCCCAGCGGTCTCTTCCCCTCAGGCTTCCCGACCAATACCCGGTGCACACCCCTTGTACCAGCCCATCTCATTCTTCTCAACTTAATCACCCTGGGAATATTGGGGGAGAAGTACAAATTTTTAAGCTCGTCATTATGCAATTTTCTCCATGCCCCATCGTCTTCTCTCCTAGGCCCAAATATCCTCCTCAACACCAGATTCTCAAACACCTGCAATCTGTGTTTGGAAACTGATGCATTAATTATGGGACTTTCATCGCCAAATACATGGAGAACACTTGCTGACTGTACCGAGAAGCGGAATTTTCATTTCACGTGGCAAAAATCTCACAAAAGCTGTTTCAGTACAGATGTCTCATCAGATTTTATCAAGTGGTAACACAATCTTACCATGTCTCCTAGCAGAGCATCGTCCGTTTGGTCTTCCTCGCTATCACAGATGGAAAATAAGGGACGTGAATTTCGTTTCTCCTTTGATCCTACAGAACAAAACAAATCAACTTTTGGTAATGTGTAGGATTAATTATTTACTCAGATGTATACACACACTTCAATCCCCCTCCCACAAAATATCTCTCAAAAAGCAGGCATTAAATATTATGTTGTGCATTTTACCTCTCCTTGGCAATAAGCATTAAATAAATTGAAAGGTTTTAAGTATTTAAGATGTAGAGCAGTGGAAAATGGAAGTTAACATAGAAGATTGCTGCATTCCGACAGCTCAATATTTGCACGTCCAAATGCGATCAGAACAAAACTGTAGGATCAAAGAATGTCGAATCTTACCTCTGTCCATCTAGGCACCCTCCAGAAAGCATGCGTGAGAATGTAAATCAAAAAGATTATTGAAAATATAATATTCTTAGTCAGTGCTTTTGAAATACAGCGTTTTCACTGAAATTTCACGTGCACAAAACATAGTTCAGTGTATGTTTGGAGCAAGTATAAACAATAAACGGAACATTTTCATTCAGGAGAGCAGTTAACAGCGAGCAACTGTACCTTTAGGTGTACTCTGTGTTTTGCTTGCACGCATGTTAATTTTCTGCAACCAACTGGAGTATGTGCTATGCGACAAAGTGATCTTTTCTTTTCTGGATGTTTGAAATGTATTTTCACTTTCACGGGTAGTGGCATTTCTGTCGCGTCGTTTCTTGGTCGTCGTCGACGTCACCGCATCAGGTTCCGACTTTTTCCGCTTCTGTAATGTAATGATGACGCTGTACAGACTAAACAGGCGTTGTACCAACATTGCCTTCAAACACTGTCTTGTCTGTTCTGGTTACGGACAATGCAAAAACATGCGGATAAGCCACAAAACCTGCATGATTGATATAAACCAAAAAATACAGTTTTGAAAGCAGTTAGGCTTTGTGACACTCGTGGTATCGTCACCACGAGAGTTTCCGAGGAATGACGTCTTAAAAAATTGGCAACAACTCTCAGTAAAAATTAAGGAACTCTGCAACTCCATTAATGATGACCTCAAACAGTGGGAGCCTTTTTAATGACTAAGAAAATTTATGTCTTAAAATAAAGTAGCTTAATCACATTTAGTAAAATTACTATTTTGAAACAAAAAGTGAAAGTGTCACGGCCCATCCAGTACAACCTTTTCATATTTGATGCTGTCAACTCTCTGATTCACGACAACTTCAGTGACTCCTGTTTTTGGAGAAAAGAACGCTGGTTGGTTATCTTGCTGTACAAGCCTCTCACCTGCAAGAAACGGGCACAAAATTGCACAACCCATGAGATATAAAGATTTTGTCCAGTTTCTCAAGGACTATACTCCACTTAGTTTGACACACGCTGTTGCATGAAAATGATCGAAGAGTTAGCATACGGTTAATTTATTCAGAAATCGACAAACTAAATACTGATTCGCATGCATTCTAACCATTCAGGTAATATGTAATTTCATTAGAGATATCAACGTTTCAAGTTCCGCTTACTTCATAACAGCCTGCTGAAGTGAAGGGAGAATGAAAAAGATTTGCAGATAATGATTTTATGAAGTTGGGGTTGTCTCACTATCTTGACGTTGACATGTCAGTCCCACATAGTTTTCTCTTAAATATGGTGTGACCTCACAGACATAATGACAAATAATGCATTAGACCGTGTTAGCAACTTACCCAACCAATATCTGACCGGAGGGACACTAACCCGTCCCCTTGAGCTTGTCCGTACAATTCCTTGGCCATCTAATTTTTCCAGCGGAATCACAGACCCCATTCTGTATACTGAATTCTTTGCAGTTTCTTGAACATAAGAATATTCACAGAATATCAGCCAGAGTTCATTAATGCAACATGTTAAAGCAGAAAGGTGAAGGAGGAGATTACAGTTCAGGGGTCGTAAAATGTAGAAGTACTACAAGCTGGTGGTCTGTATTATAAAAAGCATTTTTTTAAGTTATTGACTCCTGAAAATTAACATAAACTTTCCTGCTACAAAGAATTGTGAATGAACTCTTCCTACGTATGAAATCGAATGTTGACATACCTTTGTTAACGTCGTGTTTTTTATTCAATTCAGCGTACTCGGTATTCTCGACATGTTTTGTATGCCTTGTCATTTTATCTGTAGGCCAGGCAGGTGTTGTAACGACAGACTCGTCAGAACTGTCTGTTTCTTCGGTATCCTCATAATGTCCAAATCCGTTAGTTACGGTAACTAGAGATTTGGCAGCCTCTTTCTCTCGTTTCTTAATGTCAGCCAGTAACTTGACCCAATTTTCCATCATCATTCTCCACTTGCAAGGCAGTCCTTGACGCAGCAGCTGTTGTATTGGACTTGGAATATCTGTACGACAGTAGCAGGGTGGGTTGCGTTCAGGTTCGGAATTTGTAATCTGTCCGCTTTATTATGGGGGGGGGGCGGACACAGACGAAATAACAAATGAACATAATGGCCCCATAAAATTATTTCCTTTAAGAAAGCACTTAATGTACTTTGAGAGCATATCAGCCATTTTATTTGAAGGTGGTGGACACACATCAAAGTCAGTGAGATGCGTATAACAGTAAAGAATGACTTTTTTCATATTGAGTGAAATGTATTGGGGGGTACATTTTATATAATTTCTCATAAGTGGTTCATTAAAGATTTACTTCAATTAATTTTTACAACACACTTTCAGAAATTGTTTTATTTTCATTTGCTAAATGATCCTGCATCAAAATACCTTTTAAATAACATTCGTAGCTCTTAATTACATCCTTATTTTGAATGATTAACTGCGTCGGAAAAGATTGTAAGTCCAATTTGAGGTTCATGTAACTTACTGTGTTTGGGATCTACAAATGGGCCCTGTAACTTGTAGACAGTACCATCATGACACCGCACACAGTCAAAATCTTTACGTGCTGCAACTATATCAGTTGCATGGAACACTTCTCGGGAGGAATTGCTAATAACAGAAGCAAATTACGCCTTGTTAGCAACTGCTTAATATTAAGTTGTATTATTTGGTTCAAATGAAAAATTTTGTGACCTCTGCCAGGATTAAAGCCTGTTTTTCTAGATTCCATGTGATGGCTATATTACCATATTATATAACATACATCTGTAGGTTCAGTGATGATATCGCATAGTACAACACCACTGCAGGACTGCAAAGATGTAATCCATTTTGGAGTATATCCAAGCTTGACAAATGTTCTCTAAGGCTTCACATCTCTCGTATAAAGGTCATGGCTGAGTATTTTTAACCCTCCTACTTCATACTCTGGAGGTCCCATGTTCAAATCTCAGCGCGGAGACCGACTATCCTAACACATTTTCCTTAGTCTTTAGAGCCACGTGCTGGGACATTATATTTAATTAGGCTTCAACCACTTTCTAACATATCCTTTCCAATTCATTGTTTGTTAATCATCCTATAATTTAACGCTATACAGTCTGACATCATCAAATAAAGATATACCAGAAATTACATTATTTGTTTCAGCTTGTTATGTAATGCGGCAGAATATTTGCGGCTGCCTCCTAGCACGGGTTCCGCTGAACTATGCGTATCAGACAGAACTGTGTGCACATCTGTTATATGGGCTGCCTAACATGGACGTTGCCTGGCCACTAAACATTTTAACTGGCTACGAAAATTTAAATTAATTTATCCACACCTGCCTTGAGTGTGAAATAAAAAATACGAAAATTTAAATTAATTTATCCACATCTGCCTTGAGTGTGAAATAATCAGTAACATATGATGGCTGTCTTCTGGGTTGTTGTGCCGTGTAGTCTGGTAGAAGTTTACCGACGTTTCAGATCTCCCTGATGATGGATGCAACAAAGCCCCCTGAAACGTTGGTAAACTTCTACCAGATTACACGGTGCAACAAACCAGAAGACATCCATCTTCAAACTCACTGCCGTGAAAACGTCAAATCCTACAACAGTAACGTACCTTTGCAGATATCCCGTTAACTTCAATTTGTTTGGTTCTATGAGAACGGGAGTCCATCTTTGGAGTACACGCGGACCAAACTAAATACAAAGAAACGCAACTTGCCACTTATAAGAATGAAAAAATAATTTTTATCAAGAAATTACAACATAAGATATTTGTACTCCAACTATTTTGCTGTTAGGGATGGTTTGCAGTACATAAAAAACAAACTACGCATTATGGGAACTTTTCCACAAAGTATCTGAATACAGATGTAGATGTCATGGATTAAAATTAAGAACTGTAATAAGAAAATGCATACTTGTACAGTAAAACCCCTCAAGTTGGACACCCCTTTATATTGGACACTTTTAAAACCGGCGAATATCCTATAATTTTACATGTCCACAATACCCTATATCTTGGACACCCCTTTATCCTGGAACTTGGTCACCCCTTTTGTTGTAAGTTGGACAGGTGCGTGCACTTAACTTCGACGCTTTTCAAGGAAACTTTTTCAGTTACATATTTTGTTGTTTTGAATTTCTGACTGATGAATGCCTCTTCTCTGGAGGATTAGCTTATGGTTGAGGGTGTGAGACATTGAAATGCAGTGAAAGTGAATAGTTACTCTTTTGTTAAACCATTCACTGGACTACAGTACGCTGGTACAGTTTTAACTTTGTCAGTACTGTGCTCGCAAATGAGTTAAACAGTGTTAACAGATATTGGAACGGTATGCTTTCGCTCATAATCAACCTGGAATAGTTGAAAATTTATTCGGATTGCGGCGAAAATTAGAAATAAATAAATAAATAAAATAGAATACATTGTCGGTAAACGTAAGGTATTGGTGCCCTTCCCTTTGAGCTTATCCATGCAAGTTTAATTTAGTGAAAATAAAATTTGTAAAAATTTAATTTACCTTTTTGATTTTTCTTATCAATAATTTCCTTTTTGGGAACGGCTCCATAATACTTTACAATTACCACATTGTCATTACAACACAATTTGAAAGGATGATTTTCCCCTTTCCCTCTATCCTGGACACCTCTGTAAGTTGGACACATTATCGTGGAACCGCAAGTGTCCAAGTTAGAGAGGTTTTACTATATTTGTAAGTCATGAGCTGTCTCAGGTTATTCTATTCGACCACATTCAATAAATATTAAATTTTAAGCACTGTATCTGCATTCGTTTGTGGAAATTCTGTGTTTGCATTCGTGCTAAACCACGATACATACCGATTCTTCCGTGCTTTCTTTCCTTTCTTTATTTAAACTCTCTATTCCCATCTTCAGGATCCACTGAAAAAGATAAGACAGGTATTTGCATCTCTGCAACACAATAACGCACATATAGAACTTAAATATCTCCATCTTCAGCCAGGAATACCTAGTTGCAGAAATGTATGCTCAGATGTGGTGTGCATATTTTTCATATATAAAGACTGTTCAGTAAAGTGAAAGGTGAAATCCCCTGGATTGTTCCGAAAGAAAGTAATCATTCTTTATAACAAATCCCACCCACACACACAACTGATGTCAGTGCAAGTCCTCGAGGAATCACAGTATAAATGTCTTACCTAGTGAACACCAAACAACCAGTGCGAAATTTTTTTATATATTTTAATCCTTAGGTTTTTATAAGAAATTATTAGCTTAAAAATAACTAATTAGCTTCTGTAATTATGAATCTTTCTACTTATTTCTTCCTACATTATATTTATTTCAATACCCACAATACCTTTGGAGTTCTTTCTACAAAAGATGTCCATCGTGATTCATTATGTCTCTGATGAAAAGAATTTGGGACAAATTCTTTATCGGCCACAATACTTCTTTCTGGAATAGAAAACCCACCCAAGACACTGATGTCCAGCAATGTAAGATAACCATATGGCTTTCTCTTGCCTACATTTGCCATAGAAGTGTCAACAGCAGATGCATAACTGCTTCCATTGGGTGATATGATATTCATAACTCTCTTCTGATTGTGAAAACTTTGCCTATCTGCATATTCGTTCAGAGTTTTAGAAATTAGGGATCTCTGTGTGTCTTCTAGCTTTTTCTTTTCTGAGGCACCTCTAAATGACAAAAACATCTGAAATAACAAATTAAGTATTAAGTAACTAAACCTGTTGCAAATGTTGATGTAAACATGGTACATGGGGAAGATTTCTCTCTCCATAATGATAAGGACATCAGCACTTTGTCAACTAGACAGTTTCTCAAATTCAGTTAGATAATGCTATGCCATTTGGGGAACTATATTTATTCATTACTGGAACTAACAAAAACGTTGGAGGAATACAATATGGTAATGCCATACACAATTTTAAGATTGTGACTTGGGGTAAAGGAAAAATTGCCCTGTATTTCAAAGTCTGCCAAGCAATGAGCAGTAGAAAAACGAATCTCCTGGCCAAAATTAAGTGTCTTTTTTTTAAGTTTCTTGCTTCGTTTAGGTTATAAACATGCATGCTTCAAACAATCTTATACAAACTTAACATCAAATCGAGTGTTGGGTTACCATAATTTTTTAAGTTCGAACGTTATATGCATTCTCAACAAATCTTAAAGGATACTTACACATTCCGTTTCCTTATTCATTCTTGTAATTTTAATTTACAAACGTCAACTTAAATACAAATTTCGTTAAAAACTCACATCATGCGCCACTTAAAAAAAAAAGACCATTCGTCAGAGTCACCAACTTTACCAAGTATGTAGAATTTGAGGTTAAATGTTAGTATTTGTGTTCACGGCAAAGTCTTGTGGTTAGTGTAGCGTGGTAGAATTTTACTAACGTCTCTACTCATATGCTATAACATAAAAGACAGACATTAACGTTACCAAGTAAATCAGTTGTTGTAAATCATGAGCACGTTGACCGAGTGATTGGCACTATCGAGTAACTAGATAGTTTCAAACTAGGGAATAGTTTGAAATGTATAACCATTCGAATCAATTCATTCGCTTTGGAAAATACGAAGAAGAGCGACTGAATTTTCTTTCTTCAGTTTATAGCACATATAATTCGAAAGACAGATTACATCAGAGTAATAATGTAGCCACTGATGACAGTAAACCACATTCTGTAGCTTTTATTAATGACAGTTATTTTGTTCAGAAAATTAGCTTTTCTTCTCACCTGGAGATGTCAGAACTTAATCTGGTAACCACAAAAGTGGGCCTACAGATTACCATTAATAGGAAAACAGTATAAAGTTGAAATTAAATTTATCGAAATCCAGAGATACAAAACAGAGCATCATTAAACCTATTATTCTGAATGACCTATCATGATAAGGATAATGTGCTTAAAAAATGAGCAGAATACAATAGAATTTATGTACATTCCATAGAGCGTTAATAGGGCCTAAGCAAAGGATGTAGAATATGTCATAATACATATACCATACAACAGATTAATCGCATAGTTATAACAGCTATTTACAGACACATGTTATAATATTGTATTACAGAAATGTAATTACATCAAGGAATCCTAATGCATGTTATATGTATTTGTAATAACTGAGAATTATTGTTTAAATCCTACTGTGTAGGAGATAAGAGATACTTGTTTAGTGCTGGCTAAAATACTTTTATGTCATGATTTAAGATTTGAGATTTCAGCCATCAGATACACTTCTGATCAGGAATTAAATAGAAGTTTTTGATATATTTATGAAAATACCTTTTTGCCCAATAAGTCCTTGACAAATTTCAATTTTTACTACAAAAGGCACAGGTATTTCTGATGATGAAGTAGGATAGCATTCCTTTTTTGACTGACAAGCTTGCGAACTATTGTCATATGGGCATATTTAAACACTTCAAGGGCCTTCCTCATGAAAGTGTCTTAACTTACATTGTATTTACAGACTGCTGTATCTGCTCGTATATCAGATACTGCCATGCTTTCTTAACTCCTTAGCCATTGCAGTATTTAAGGAAAAGGCTGTTTTTCTGCATTTCATACTTTATCTTGTTAATTACTAATACTAATGGTTATTTAAGAACACAATTGAGGATCTGATTTGTAACTAAAGGCATGAATTATTAATAACTGCCTTTAATTGAAAATCAGATCCACATTTGTCACTGATAGGAGTGATGAAAATTTGAGTACAGTGGTATTAAATAAAAGAGATTAACTTTGTTTTGATTTAATGCAGCATTTCAAAGTTAACAGCAGTAAAGAGACCATTTACATTTATTTGGGTTCTGAAATAAGAGAATTTATAACAGCACACACAGTTTACATGAACTTGGGTTGCCTCTTGTTAAAAGCCAGATCATATGCGTCTTCTCAGGTTTTTAAGAAGCTGGGTTTGCGCATCTTGTATCTTCTTAATAGAAGCATCTTGCTAAAACAAAAAAAAAAACTACAGCTAATCAAATTATGTATTGATAAATCAAGATTAGAGTGTTACATCACGTTAAGCAAATAAACAACGTAACAGCTTGTTGAACCATGCTCACCTCTGAAGTTTTCTTTTCGTATAGATCATCAAAGGCTTTGTTCTGTTCCTCATTCTGTCGTTCTAGTAAGTTGAATGTTTCGTCCAGTTCCTCTCTCTTCGCTGAAATGTCAGCCACTTTATCTAGCGCATCACGTAACTTATTCTTCAAAAGCATTTTCTCCCTGGAATACACATCCAGAAAGTCTGATGATTTAAGTGGCGGGATGGTCAGTATAACGCACTTCCTGTATTAACACCTCGCCCTGCCAATAAGGTTCTGGTAGCCAATCTGTAATTTCTTTTTATGGCAAAGTAGCAAAATATGTAAAGTATTGGAAAGAAGACACCTATTTTCTGAATTTGGTTGATATGACCAGGCTGGGATGAATTATAAAATACGAAATTTACTTATCCTTTTCCGAATACTCTTCTCTCTCTCCCACTAGCACATTAAATTTGGTAGATGTAAACTCAAAATTTTGCACAAACTCCACGTTTGTAATTCTGAACATATAATAAAGTTTCATACAATTTCAAGTTGGGTCCATCACTACCAATGGGAAATAAAAAATATAATCTCTGCACGACTCCCATGTTGCTGTCTTATTCTACAAAGATACGAATATGTTACATATTATTAAAGACCTAATGTCACATACTTTTGGGGACATCACATTAACTGGCGTGCATGCCACACCTTGAAACTTTGAAATTTTGCCACGCAGATGTCACTGTTGGCATTTTATATTTTAAGTGGCATGTAATTCATGCCGAGGTTCATTAAAATGTGTCGCTTTAAACTTTTCCCAGAATTCAAATATAGAATATTATGTGAAAAATTAATTTCCATCCTTCATAGAAATTAATAAACTATATCAGAACATGCAATACAGGTTTTCATGCCATGAACATGACTGATTTAATGATGCTATAACAAATTCTGAAGTTGTTTAGGACGATATATGACATGACAGGATCATGTATGGTGAAAGCAGGGTTAAGGAAGAAAGTGGTGGTGGTTCATGTCAAGGGATTAACTTCGTATTTGAATGAATGGTATGAAGGAACCTGTCTGGACAGCCAGTACCCTGATCTTTGAAAACTTAGGCAGCTAAGATACCGATTCAGCTGGTTCACCTGGTCTTTTCCTCGATATTCTGCGCGAGTGCCGTTTTCCTGTTTTCCCACTGCAGGCCGACAGCCATTTTCTGTTCCTGCAACCGAGCTATCTTTTTTAGCGAATTTTGGATCTTCTTGTTCATTTCCTGCTCTTTCGTTGTGGAAGCCTCTTTCTTCTTTTGGCTTCTCTCCTGGTTTTTATCGAGTTTACTGCAAAGTTGGAAAACATTTTGTGAATGAGTTTATAGAAAAACATTGAAACTTGTTTCACGTACAGGTTTAAATCTTCCATTTCATATGGGACTATCCACTGGAAGCAAATAACATAAGAATGGAAATATCTAATCCAACTGTGCATTGTTTTATGATCTTGACATTAATTTACCGAAGATACAGAAATAAGGATACAAACTTATTTTTTGCTGATCATACTGCATGTACCACACTCTGTAAACCACAAATTATTTTTATTTTACTTCTATAAACACTCGGCATATCAGAAAGTACCGCAAATAAAATACACAGACGTTGACGAGACGTATGTTTTACGTTACGCAGGAACATTTTAACGTGAACCATTTTGAAGATCATAATTTAAGTTCCATAAGAGCCTAATGTAATTCATTTGACTGATACAAACAAAAATTACATTTTACAAACAACTTTTGGAGTGAATCCATAATTGTCAGACCTCATCAAAACCCCTTCAGTATTTTCAGAAATGAAACAAATGGGAAAATGGATTTCCTCAATAAGCAAAACATGCAAAGTAATATCATAGTGACTGTTGTCAGGTAGAAGTGTTGAAGATGGAGACAGCATGTCTCTCTTATGTATAAGTCCACACAGCATCAGAATCAAGAACCTCACACCTCAGGAAGTAAAACAACATTAGTGCTAGGTTTATAGGCCTGCTCCCATTGGCTCGGGGCAGGCTACACCTTTCACTTTCTGGCCTATAAACCTAGCACCTCACACCCTATTGGCATATTCATCGCCCTGATGACGGAGGCAGTATGACCTCTGAAACGTTGGTTAACATCGACCAGACTACACATCGCAACAACCCAGAAGACGGATATCTTCATACTCACCGCTGTGAGAACCTCAAGTCTTACATTAAAATATTTGTGGAAAGTGATACATATTTATGAATCAGCATTCTCTTAGATAAGCATATGAAGTGCCTTGACTGAACGCGTTGGAACTCACTTGATGCGCTCATCAGTAGCAAGTATGTCCTTCAGCTTGACTTCACACTCTTCCCCCATGCGCACAAATTTCTCATACAATTCCTTCTGTCGATCCTTTTCCTGCTTAACCTCCGCTAAGTGCTGCTTTTCTGCTTCGACCTTTTCCTTTAATTCCCGCAGACGATTTAGATCTGCTACTAGCTGGTCAGGGAATTCAACAATTTGATTTCGCAGTTCCGATACTTCTGCACCCAGCTGCAAACACCAACAGACTTGTAAGAACCAGCCAATTAATAATAATAATTTAACAGAATCTTATACAGTACTAGCGCAGGCCTGATCGATTCCAAATTCCCGACGTCACACCTTTTGATATTCCGCCTGTAGCATTTCATTCTTTTGCTCTGCCTTCACAAAGGCAGCTTCAGACAAGGCCATGTCCTCCTGAATTTCAGCGTCTTCTTTCTTCAACTGGAGAATCTCATTTCTTGTCTCCTCATCTGCGGCGAACAACTGTAACACACACAAATATATTCACATTCACTGCAAATATTGAACAGTAACAAACATCTGATGCATATTCTCGGGCATTTTCTTCTGTCTGTTAGTTACTCAGCTAGTTAGTTTCCTAGGTGGTCACTAACATCCCAGAGGAACCACATGGTGACCAAACATCTTACACTTCCGCTTCATATTTTGGAGTCCTGTTAACAGTACGTAAATTGAAACACATGGTGACCAAACATCTTACACTTCTACTTCATATTTGGGAGTCCTGTTAACAGTACATAAATTGAAGCAGAAATGCAGGTTCATTTCACTTTGAGTTTGAAATGGCAGTGAATGTACGTATACACAAACCTCTTTCTTCCGCATTTCTCTCTGGGCACGTTCGCTTGCAGTCATGTTCAATTCCTTTTTAAGTTCTTCACACTGAGCTCGTAACTCATCACATTCTGCCTTACGTTGAAGTAACTCTGCAGAAATATTCTCCACATTCTGAGCTTTCCAGTCAGCAAATGTGTGAAACGCATCCATAGCATTCATCAGGTACAGGGTCCGTTGAGGAGCTAAAGAGCAATTCGGTCAGAATTAGACATGCATCGGTATTTTATCTATGCTGAGCGTAAGTATTTGTATTATGATGTGTTCCACGTGCTTGGCTTGAACTATGATGGATCTATTGGAATGTAAATAAATTCTAGACTATTCTACTAAAGAACAAAATAATTCAGGGCTTACTTGGTTCAGTTATATCCATTATTGAAAAATTATCCACAAAGATGTGTTTATATATATAGGACAGAGCAAAATATAAGTTTAAAAGAGGCAGCGGAGGTCTGTATGCATCTGAATAGTCTAGCTCCTGCACCTGTTCAGGTGACGGCTCTTTCAAATTGTCCACGTCCACTCCGAACACTTCCAGCACCCGAAAGTAATAACTTTGTATGAACTTGGCAGTTGGTGCTTTCATATCAGACATACAAATAGGGAAATATGGCATCTTGTCTTTGGTGGATGTTACAACATCTTCTTGGCTAAGCATTTTGACAATCAAATTTTCTGAAAAAATAAAACCACAACAGTTGTTATTCTGTTTGTTTCTTGGCTGATAAATTATACTTCTTCAACTCATATTATTTACAGGGTTAAATTTTAATAGTGATGAATAAAGTGGCTGAAACGTTACCTACAGCGTCTAAAGAAAACCACAAAATATTACCAGGGAACCAGGCAGAGAATTGAACGCAGGACCTCTAAATATGGAAATGTCACTACTCTTACTTAGAGTTGTAATTACAGAAAACGCCAATCTGTGAAAAAATACACAAGACTGAATGTTATCAAGTGTTTATGTAATGACACTTTATCAACTGTGTGTTAAAATATAACTTGGGTTCAATTCAAACTACAATACAACAAACACTAGTGCACTTTAAAAGCAACATAAGAAAACAAATTCATATTTACACAGTGTGTCCAAATAATATTATACTTGAAGTCAACAGCAATTCCAGTATAATATAATAATAGTTTATTACATTCCATGGATTCATAAGACAGTCAGATGACAATAGGATGTGGAAAAAGTCATAATAATAATAATATTACATATTATAAAGTACAATTCATACTACTATATAAATTACACATAATACAAAACAAAGGGTTCACCTAAAGAAATGATAAGCTACAAATAGATCCACCCATTACATACAGAAGAAAATTTATCACTTATTTGTAAACAACATAAATTCATTGACAGAGTAAAAGGAGTGTGTAATTAAGTATCTCTTTAATGCTGCCTTAAATTGCTCCTTCTTATTTACAAGATTTGATTGTAGACTATTGAAAATTTTGATTCCTGCATAATATGAAATCTTCTGAAAGCATGAGAGGTTGGCAATTGGTCTATGAAGCTGATTTTTATTCCTTGTGTTGACACTGTGTACAGCAGAATTAGTTTGAAAGAGTTCTTGGTTATTTACAATAAAGTTCATTCACGTGGAAATCAATTTACTGCACTTACACTTAAAATCAAAGAGCATTTTAAATGGAATATGCCGTTTTACTGAACTTCACTTACTTTAATACCCAGCACTTCATATAATTTTAATTCACTTCACTTGAAATCCTTATCTTAATTTTTAAGTTAGGCCTAATTTAGTTTAAATTCCCTTATTGGTAAACCATATACTTTTTACATATATTTAGATAGAAACGTTCTAGTTATGGAAATACCAAAATATGTTAGTTAGAGAGTTTCAGAATGTGAATAAAGAACTTATATAGACGGAGCAACTAATCACATGTATATACCTGTAGATCGCTTACCGCCAGACTGTTATTACCGCCTCTCCTCAAAAAAACAAAAAAGGCCAAACAACTGATAACATTTCCTTTCTGATTGGTTGCTCTAGGACATCACTGTAACGAATGTGGAACCATCTGTTTTCTTAACAGAAGAAAGATACTATGCGCTGGAATAGTTTGGTGCATATCATTTAGGGAGTTTAATTTACAAATCATATAAAAATATAGTGAAGTTGTAACATGTGAAACCAGTTTATGTGGATTGAAATTTCGTATTTAGCATTTTGAATGTCTAATTCGCATTTGTTTTTGCCCTCGGGTTTCCCCCGAGCTCCGTTGCAAAACGGTATAGGCCGGTTTGTTTGCCAATTGCAAAGAATTACAATAAAATTCTGTAAAAGTAATGGATCAAGTAGAGGAGTAAGGTAAAAAAACACGATTATCATCTCGAAAAATTACATTCTTTGGTTTGAAGGACGTAAGCAGAATCACTTGAAACGATATTGGCTTGGTTTTATTACATGTGGTTTGGATTGTATAGGTTATGTTGGTCAAAATTCGCCCTCTTGGCATTGGAAACAATCGTAGTATGGCTTATATTTTCCTTGCAGATTTAAATTGGAATGAACATGGATTGTGCACTGCAGATTTTCGATTCATTCATGTCTGAATTTCCCAGTTGGTCTTAAGGTTTTTGTATACATGAATCAAATACCACATGGGCCACATATACATGGACCAGCCATCACTCTACGTTACTTGATCACTCTAACAACACTTGGTGAAAAGTGGAACTCACGTTGCTTCTCATTATGCGTTTTTGTCCATATTTGTGCCACTTCCTTTCTTATAGGTCTGAATGTATCTTCAGCACCTTGTCCAAGAAACCCCCCCAATCTGTATCCTCTGTAGTCTTATGGCTTCTGTTACTGAATAATTTTGTAGGTGGTTACCAACAATTCAGAGGACAAGTTTAACAGAATTTCAAAAAGTTTCTTGTGCAGTACAAGTTAAAGAGTAATTGAAGAACCTTCACTGTTTGATATAAGATAAACACAATTTTGAAATCCTTCCCTTAATGATGCAAGTGTCATTCTCATTTCAAAAGTTCCCACGACTGCAGTGTACTTATTGTTAAGAAGTACCAAGATGGTTTGTCTGCCAGTAGCGGGTTGAGTCACATAAATTGATAAGTCGGTATCTGTAACACTGGTATGTGAAATTGAATCAAAGTGCAGCTATGCAACTTGTTTTGTGCTTGAATGAGAAAGTGAATCTGTGATTTTATATTTCAGGGAGTTTATAGAGAAGGATCTGCTGGACTTTGCCCACAATTATCCTGGTATAGTTGTATATGTTAAGCCAAGAAGACATCATTCTCCATGTCTCTCAGCAGAATACTGTGAGTTTCATTTTTGACACAGTAACTTGTTTGGATTCTGATTACTTATAGTTACGGTGGAAGAGGAAAGCTGTCTCAACACCATGTTAATAATTACCATTGCTCATAACAGTTGCTTACTGCCTCCATCATTTATCTGACGTTTGAATACTTCAGTTTACATGGTGCTTATGCACTCAGTTTGTGATCAGCATATGAATGTTTGTTTCCTTTTGTAGTGAACGGAGAGAGACAGTATGTGAACTGCCACAACCATTCCCGAGATGAAGTAATCAAGTGGGTGAACTTACTTCGCACAGAATCAGGGAATCAGATAATCAGGTTGAGGAAGATGTGGCACACAGATTGCCCCTCGATACAGGGCCCGTGGAGCCCGTTTGTGAACAGGGATCCTCATCTTAACGTCGTGGAGTTTCCAAATGTAAGTTGGACCTTTGTTGTAGACCAGAAGCCTGGAGTACATAAATTGATTCATTTAACAAATAGTTCTGATCGTCAAACCAGTGGGCTGTCTTACCAAGGATAGTTTTGCTTGGTTGGGTTTGACGATTTCTCGTTTATATAACTGAGACTTTCGGAACTTAATACTGCAGCTGCGAAACATTGGTATTTTTTACCAGACTACACGGCCCAGAATCCTGGAAGACAGCCATGTTCTTGATGTAAGGATTTTTAAACACAGTGTACATGAACGTGTCTGTAGGAAAGTTTAATCATCAGTTTTGATGCCATATAATGTGAGTTGTTAACAATGATGTTAATATATTTCAAATACAGAAAATTAAGAGAGCTATTTCTGTTTTGCAGGAGAGTCTGTCTCGCCCTGTGTATTTACCAAAGACCGCAACAGAGCAGTTGAAGGAGATATTTGAGAAGCAACGACAAACTAATGTATCATCACTGGATGAGAAACAAGCAGAATAATGGTAGGTACAGGAAATGTAAGAACGTTTGTGAATGTTTTTGTACATTTAAATAAAATGCAAGTATTGGGTATACTAAATACAGATGTGACATTATTTTTGTTCTTAGAATATGGTATTAAATTTTGTTTTCTGGTAAAGATATATTCCTTCTCATGTTATATTGTACTTTCTGTTGATGTAGCTCATCTCCGTCTAACTTTTATTATCTCCCTTGAAATTTACTTACCTTAAGCTCAGTCGGTATAGTGACCGACTACAGACTGGGCGACCAGGATTTGATCCTCAATGGGGGCAGAGGATTTTTCCTCTAGCCTCTGCGTCCAGACCGGCTCTGGAGCCCACCCAGCCTCCTATCCAATGGGTACCGTGGTCCTTTCCCGGGGTAAAGTACGGTCGGGGCATGATGCTGACCACTCACCCCCTCTAGTGCCGAGGTTAAGGAAGAGAGGAGCTATACCTCCACTCCTCCCAAGCGCCTACATGGCGTATAGTGGGACAAACTTTACTTTACTTTTCTTTTACCATTTACCACACATCTGATATGCTTCAGTGCCTAGTGATAAGGAATATTATGTCCCGCAGAATGTATGGGAGCTGACGTAGCTCAATCTCTTGTCATTTCAGTGCCAGCAAGTTGTGTTTGTGGTTCTTCGGAAAAAGTACGACGGACAAATCTTGTAGTGTTAAAAAGTGTGGGAACATGTTGAGAGCTGATGGACTCGGTAGTTATTAGCAAAATACTTGTTAAACTTCTTGTTCAGAGTTCATTATAGGTGATAAATAAACAAAAATAAATCTGATGTAACAAAATCCAGTCCTGACAACATTTTGACAAACTTCCTGCTTTAATCCTATGGTTCCCAAAGAAGAAGACGAGTCGCGTGCAGAAGGGCAGTTGCAACGCGTACTACGACTACTTTTTTCAGTTGCGTTCAATCCCCTGGATGACTTTCAGCCAAGAACACAGCAGCATCCAAACAAACACCGGCACTGATATTTTAATATTTATTATTCATTAATTATACATAATAAGTTTAATTTATTTTTTGGTTCCCTTAACCCCATTTTTCCCTGAAGGTCTTATCTTCATGCACTACTGTTCTACCATTTGTGGGGGGGGGGAGGGGGTTCAAGAATGTAAACCCTGTGGATGGTGAGGGTGTACTGTACATTAAATATACATCACACTGAAAATATTCCAGTGAAAGTTGTAGATCTAAATAGGGTCTTTATTTTACGCTACACCACTTTTTTTGTTTGTTTTTTTATTTACATTTTGTGAGTTGATTTGAGCTTCATGTAAACTGGGTAATGTTGGGATTGATAATCCAAAATAAAGTTCACCAAACAACTAACGATGCAGACCATTCAATATTAAATTCCACTTTAACCCATTCAATAATTTAAGACATGAAACGGATGATAAGGACTGATGAACAGACACCTCTCGCCCACTACGTTTCATAAAAAGAATGCACAAAAGACTACAATGTCTTCTTTAACTTCATAATACAGGATGACTTACTTTTGAAAAATATCTTCCCTTTATGGAAACTTTATTACTGTATATTTACATTTAAGTCAAAGGGCAAAAAGTATAAAAAAGATATTCTTTCATGAGACAGGAAGAGACCAAGAATCCATTATCACAACGAACATAACTTATGAGATGCAAAAACGGAGTATTTGACTGAAACTAAACAAATACACGAGCTACAATTACATAATCGTGGCTTTCAGACCTGTGAAAGTGTACGAAGCTAAAATGAAAATTTATCAAATTTTCATGCACATAAACACAATGAGGTCCTGACTGAATAATACGTTGAAATGGGACACAATAAACACAGAACAAGAAAAAAGACAATGAGGCAAGAACATGAAAGATACAGAGAAGAAAGTGCGAGAATTTAAGATGACGGGGGAGCGACATGTAGGAAGATAGCAGAAGAGTCTTAATTTTAATTCATTCATTTTTTTTAAACACCGGCGAAAGCAAAATTCCGATAGATATATTTTGGCATTCGAGATAAATTATTGGCCTGATAAGAATCATTAATGAGCATATAAGTCACTTCTTTATGCCCTCCTTTCAACATGCGTTCTGCTTCTCTGCTATGTAACAGCAGCAGCACTAGCAATGAAAGTGTTAACACGACAAATTCCAGCGCATGGATTCTGTGTCTCCCCGTCTGTACAATGGTTGTTTACAAGTCGAGCACCGTGAATACTGCAGTTGGCACGTTCCACTGATACTGTTAAGGCAAAAATTCTACATAGTACGTCCACCACAAATGTAGTGAAGTACAAAAGGTTTTTAAATACAGCTATTTGAGGGGCGGTAGAATGGACAGTCAGAAGAATATATGCCTAGCATCTGATGGATTTTGTTCAACTGGACAGTATGGGCACTTCAATCTGAAACAGAAAATACAGGCATTACGACTTACCTGCACATGCCAGCCCTTTACTTGCCATTACTACAAATTCAATATTTATCATGAAGTAAATATTTTTCCTTTATTTCTAGTGGTTTGAAGGAAAATAATTTCTTCTTTGCGACTACTGAGCAGAATGTCTGCTCTCAGGTTTGGTCATGGATGTCAAGTGCCAACAGATTCATTTTGACAAAAACTTGGTAAAAGTGGTGCACATCTTTGCAGAATGAGATGCAAACACAGGACGGCCTGTAATTGCACTTACATTTTGGTGACTATATTTTTTCAATAACGCCATCTTTTGTATGTGAGAACGGAATGCACTAAATATAACAAGGATTTAAGTTTTCCTTTATTTCAAAATGAAATGTGTGTGTGTGTGCAAACTGCATGATAAAATGCGGTATATTTGCATATTCTTTCCTCATGTGTAATTTACACCTTTACATACTCTGTAGGACAGTGGTCCCCAACGCGGTGCCCGCAGGCGCCCGTCAAGGCTTTTTCTGGGTGCCCGCGTTGATACGGAAAGAGGTTATACTGAATAATGAAGGCTGTTCAAC